AGAATTATACCTCCCAAATGAGAAATCTCTTCATTTTTCAAAAAGGTCCAAAAACATGAAAAGTAAACAATACATGTTTTTGACATTTTGACTTAAACAATATTTTAAAAACTTTTGAATGAGTTTATGAACTTAGGAAAAGATGTAAACTAGTGTTATTAAGTCTATAAACTAAAAATACAATATTTTTCTAATTAATAGAATATGAAACATATGAATATGTATATGAATGCATATTTGTTTCATATCTATATAACTAAACTAAAATAACTTATCCACATGAAAACAAACATATATGTATATAAACATAAATTTATTTATTTATAAAAACTTTGTTTGTGGATAAAACCCAAAATGGATAAACTTATAAAATGTGTGTGTGTATATGATATTGAGCTTGAAGTATTAAACACACATAATATAACACCTAAACTAATTACCCAAGCTAGATTGATCTTCAATATGCTTGACTTGGTAAACTTTGCGGATGAAGCTTGATCTTGGATCTTGACTTGAAATGTATTGTTTCATACCACTATATCCGCCAACCCCCATTTGATGTGATCGTGTAGGCTCAATTCCATCCAACCTTCGACAATCATTGTTTGTCTAGAATAAATAAGAAAACACAAATACTAGACAAACAATATTAGTCGTAAATTATTTGTTAAAACATCATCAAAATAAAAAGGCCAAAAGAATCCACGTACTAAAAGATTATATGAAACATAAGGAAGAAAAGGAATTACTGATTCAAGAATAGGTATCAGTAATGGTATTCAATCACCGAAAGAAAAACATTTACGATGTTACACATGCTCAGCTTGGTATCCTTGCTGTCTAACCTGCGTGGGATGCCCATGCAAAGGAGGAAAAAAGGGCTGCCTATCGGATGTGGAAGAACAAATGATGTGGCGGGTTGTTGGGGAGAAGTTCGGCTAAGAAGCCTATTGGTGAAAGCAACAAATTGTTGGTGGAGAGACTAAGAGATCCTCCACGTAGATTTTTTCAATTGGGCCTGAGTGACATAGCCCGCATGTGAATTTTCAGGGAGTGGGTCTAAAGTTCGACCAGGACGCTCAGAACCAGACATCTTGCACGAAGAATGATGATGGTCCCATGGTGGGTGTCAAATTATTAATGCCAGTTATCAAACAAGGAGTTTATTTACGGATTAAGGCAGAATTAGGGTCTTCAAACTCCTTCAGATAACTGACTCTATAGATCGTTGTTCTTCCTGCACATGAAGAACTCGTGAGAGGCCAGAGTTGGGTTCTCCGGTTATTCCTCCAACGATCAAGTCAGTATATGAACTTGAGTGAGAAAATGCAAGAGAAAATAGTGAGAGGAATTGTTCAGAGATGCATGAAAGCCGAAGAAGTTACCTCTTGCAGTGTAGTTCCCTTTTATAATAGATCGGAAGAGAAATAAGGTAACTATGAGCAAGTCCAGGTAGGCAGGCTGACTCAGCAGGTGTTTTTACAGGTGTTAGCCGTAAGCGAGTATGAGTTTTGAAATCTCGGGATTTTGTTTTCTAATATAAATATTTATTTAACTCACATGTTGACGTGAATATATCTTTACATTTGCAAAAATGTTCATTTTCCACTCTTAATTCAGTCTCAATTTACCAAATCTAAGGAGAGTTTTGAAATTTTTTATGGCTAAGACAATTTAAATACCCATCCATATAATATTTAATAAAAATATAGGGAGCATGTATAGTGGTAAATATCAAAACAAATGAGATCAATGCAATTATAAAAATGTAATGTACTAATCATGTTAGAATATTTTTTGAAATATTTCCACGTGCAACTATCAGAATGTACTAATATGTTAATTTTTTTACAACTTAAGATTTTTTATTAAAAAGAACAATTTGACATATTAAAGTGCTTTTTTTATAATTTAAGATATTAAAATATTATTAATTTAAGATATTAAAATATTATTATTATTTACATAAGTGTAAAAATAGTGAAGAAATAATGTATATAAGTGCTATTTAGCGATCCTTTAGTGGCTGTTTGGTTGTATGTTTTTACCATGTAAAAGAATGGAAAGTGTAAAAAAATAAGTTCCAATGTCAGCTTTCATCAATTTCAATTGTTTGTTTGTAATTATGAAAATAGTGTAAAGTGATTTCATATGCTGACGTAGTTTGTAAAGTGATTTCATAAAAAAAAAATAATTTTAGGAGAAAGCTGGCATTAAAGTCAGAAAAAAATAATAAAAAAATAATTCCAACCAATATGATCATTTGAGTAGGGACCACTTTTTACACTTTCCAAACAAACAATTAAAGTTACATTTGCAAACCAAACAAACAATTTATGATTCCAATGTAATAAAAAACAAACAAAGATAAATATAAAAGTGAAATTGATAAGATGGACAACAACTTTCCAAGTTGTGTCATAAATACACAATTTTAAAAAAACAACCAAACAACCCCTTAGCCTACTCTTTTACGTAAGCCCTAAGCTAATGAGCTTTGACCACGTAACCCGACCTAGGCGCATGTGGGCCCCACTAAAATAAATGGGTGCAACTAGAAATGGGTCCCTATTCTATTGCCCTCACATGAAAAAAAAAGGCCAAATTATGGATTCGAGGGCATGGATAATGCTCCTCACTCACTTCATGGCCCTCATGTATTCCCACGAGAAGCGGGCCCCACTCATAGATCGCCACGTGTCCACATGAAACGTGCTCTAGTCAACCTCAATGACGACTCTCTTCGTGGGAATCGAGGCGCTCACGATAAGCTAACAGAGGCAGGGTCCTCCGTCAACTAACGCCGTCAACTCTCTTTCTCCGGCAGTAATTACGTTCAGACAGCTTGACTAATTAATAGAAAGTAAATTATCTTGCATAAAAGGCGCAGCGGTAATCACGGGTGTCAATTTAGGAAATTTATTACATACAAAGGAGAAAAGTTAAAGTATATTTGGATGCATGACATTAACTAAGCGTCAAATGAATATTAACTCTTTGATTATTAAATTTTAAGATGCATGCTCCTATTTAAGGATGAAAAATTCCTTAAGGACCCAAAATATGAGACCAATAGAGGGGACAAGTGAGGTGTCTCCATCCTATTGGATAATGAGTTGGCCATCATTAATGATGGCCAACTCATTATCCAATAGGAGGGAGACACCTCACTTGTCCCCTCTATTTCTATTAGGGGCTGTTTGTTTTGAGTATTTTGCCTCGGGGAGGGGGTGGAAAGCTGCCATTATGGCAGCTTTCTCCCCAAAACGCCTATTAAAGAGGCGTTTTGGGGAGAAAGCTGCCATAATGGCAGCTTTCCACCCCCTCCCCGAGGCAAAATACTCAAAACAAACAGCCCCTAATAGAAAGATAGATATATAAACAACCAATACAATTATATTCGAAATCAATATAAATCAATAAAAATCAGTAATCATAATTTCAACATAAAGATAATATTAATGAGTGTCATTTATATCTTTACCGTGTATCCTGAATGAAACAATTGGTACTGATTGCAAGAATAATAAATTATTATTATTCTCATTATCATTATTATGGAACACTATTTATCTTATATATATTTAAATCGGTCATTTTCAACTTATTTATTTATGGCATATTCTAAATCAATTATATCAAAGTTTGTGTCATTTCACCTACTCTATTAATTTTCTTTTGCTAATCTGAGAACTGCCTAATAGTGTCTCTTCAAGATTCTGTGAATTTTAAAAGTAATAGACCAGTTAAAATAGGTAAAATCATGATAAATCATCATCTTCAAAATGAAGAATAGGACCACAATAGTTGCATTTCGGTTTTTCTCTCTGTATGATTTTGCATAGCAAGTTTTCCGTATAAAATCTTACAGAAAGTGAGCACAAAACGATAATATTACCAATTTCAAAGTAGTACAATCATCTCTCAATAAAAATAAATACATTAGTTAAAATATGAAAACAAAATAACTATACGTAAATCTTGTAAATGCCGAGCATAATTATCAAATTGGAATGTTGTGATGCCGGTTACAGAGCGCCTCTCTATGATTTTCTGGTGAAAATAGAAAGAAACAGCGGCTACGAAACCGTGACCGTTCGGACCGAAGCGGGACCGAAATCACAGCTCTAGAACCGGTTCGGACCGGAAAAAGCGCGTTTTGTGTCAGAGAAAAAGGAAAGAGAGAAGAAAGAGGCAGGGAAATTTTAAAATTTAGAAAGCGCTTAATTAGATAATTATCACCGTTAACGCGCAATCAAAGTCGCACCAAATGCGGCTTAAAAATTCACGCGTATTCAAAAGACCGAAAGGGACCAGACCAGTAGAGAGAGCTGAGGGAGCGAGCGAGCGGCCAAATCTATCCTGAGCCCTCCAGTTTCGTTCGGAGACCGACCGGGACCAGAGCACAGCAGACAGAGGGAGCGAGCGAGTAGCCAAATTTATCGTAAGCCCCTCCATTCACATTTCAGTTGCTTTTAACGACAAAATCAGTAGGGTTCTCTCTCTCCTCTCCCTCCCTCTCTCTCTCTCTCTCTCTCTCTCTCTCTCTCATTTTCTTCTCAACATTTTGCAGTTCGATCTCGTCTCAGTGTTCTGAATGGAGGAATCCGAAGAATCAAGGAACGATTTCATGCAGCGCCTTAAAGGAACTTCAGCATCATCGTCGTCTACTTCGATTCCCAAGCCCAATAGGCTAGATCTCCCAACTCTTAGTGGGCCTCAAGCCCTGCGGCCCATTCCGCCATTTCCGCCGAGCCCGACGCCGGAAAGAGGATCGGCATCCCGCGCCCCACCCCCACTTCTCTCCGGCTTCCGCCGCCTCCGGATGCGCCGCGCGCCGCCGCCGCTCGTTCCCGTCGTCGTCTCACAACTTCATCCCGGTCCGGCTCTCACTCTAGATCTCTCTCTTCAGCCCGCGTTCTTTGCCCTAGATAATCTCCCGCCGTTCGCGACCGTCGCCGGCGACGCCCCGATCCCGTCATCTTCTGCTGACGTGGCAAATGGAGGAGCGCGCACGCTCCGCCTCCGTTGCCGCTCGCCGAGGACTAACTCCGGCGGCGGCGGCGGCGGCGCGGCGTCTGGAAAGCGCAGCCGGCGATGGCTTTCTCGCGAAAGGCCCATCGGCGGTCGCAGAGCGATATACCCTTTGGGTTTCTGCCCAGCAGTGCTCTTCTGCTGCTTTGCCCCCTTTGCCCAATTCCTCAATTGGAAGCCCTAGCCCTAACCTTAACTACCTAATCTCGCCGAGAGATGTGTTTGGGTCTGGGAACAGCTCGAATCCGTTCGTGAAGCAGGAGTCTGAATGGGATCGAGAGGGGGATAGTAGTGTCGAGAGGAAATCAGAAGGGGATGTGGCTGATGATCTATTTAGTGCTTACATGAATCTCGAGAGCTTTGATACTTTAAACTCATCGGGTACTGAGGATAGGAGAGAAGACAGCCGGGCTAGTGGTACGAAGACTAATGGTGCTGATAGTAGCGAGAATGAAGCTGAGAGCAGTGTGAATGAGAGTGGAAGTAGCTCGCAGTTGAAGAAGGAAGGGAACAAGAGATGCGCGGTTGGGGACCCGGCACCTGTCAATTTGACTGGTTCAAGACATAATAGGAGCATTTCAATGGATAGTTTCATGGGGAAGTTGAATTTTGGGGATGAGTCGACGAAGTTGGTTCCTTCGACTGGGCCTAATTCGGGTCAGCATTCACGAAGTGGGTCGATGGATGGGGTTACTAATACTTTCAGCTTGGAGTTTGGAAATGGGGAGTTCAGTGGTGCAGAGATGAAAAAGATTATGGCTAATGAGAAGCTTGCCGAGATTGCAATGGCTGACCCTAAGAGAGCTAAGAGGTATATTTTGGATACTTTGGCTACGTTGTATGTGTAATTAAATAGTTAGGATTTTAAATGATATAAATTGTCTTGTGCTTTTAGGATATTAGCCAACCGGCAATCAGCTGCACGTTCTAAGGAAAGGAAGATGAGGTATATCTCAGAATTGGAGCACAAGGTGCAGACATTACAGACAGAAGCGACCACATTATCAGCACAACTGACTTTGTTGCAGGTAAGTTGCTTCCATTGTGCAATTCATTGCTAATTTGTGATTTATGATATAGAGAAATATAGGACATCAAACATATAATATATGTTTGCTCTAATTATTTGTTTCCTTGTTTTTAACCTATATAGAGAGATTCAGCTGGACTAACTAGTCAGAACAATGAATTGAAGTTTCGTCTTCAAGCAATGGAGCAACAAGCACAGCTAAGAGATGGTAACTTGTTTTAACATTTTGTTGTAATATACTTCTTTAAATCAACAGTATTACTAAAGCGTTGGCTCCATGGATCTAAGAGTATCATGATGGTTGCAACAAAAATAATACTTTTGTAAATGACAGTGATTGAGGTTCTGACGCAAATGTATTGCATTGTCTAATAGACTTGTTTTACAAATCTACTCTACTCAATCAAATGATAGCCAACTCTAGCATCACCCAAATTGAAACCCGCAGAAGCAAAGTTACTTAGTTAAAGCTCAAATTGTTGGTTTCTTAGCTTCCAATATTGTGAGAAGTAGAACAATGTGGTTATAGACTATAAGCATTAAGCCAGAGAGAGTTGCAAGTTCAAGTAACATATTGGGATTTGGTCCGATGGAGGTTTTTTGAATTGAAGATAAAACACTAAGATCATCAAGTTTTAAAGGTTTCTGGCTCGGACCATGATGAGTTTGAACCATCTATCCTTATGATAGAACATTGGGGAAAAAGATCATATATATATGTATTTGTCTGTTAGTATCTTACTGTGGTGTGGTAACTACTAACAATAATGTTCCTTTTTCGTTTTCCTTCAAAATTGCATGTTATATTGTCATAGTATGAGAATATGAGACCTTGTATCACTGGCATGTCTTAGTCTGTAACCAGGTAATCTGTTGTTTTTAGTGCTATAAAATGACATGACTTATGTTTGACAATACCCTCTTGCACTAAATAACATGTTGACATGAACTAGTAATTAGATATTAGCAGCATGCATATTACTTCTCTTAGCATGTGTTTATTTACTCAGTATTCTGAAAGGTCATAACTCGAGAATTGATAGAATGACATAAAACATAAATGTAAATGATTATGACTTATAAACTACCCACACTATGTGAACATATATCCTATAATAGGCGAACTATTCAAACATACATGAATTGGTCCCATACGGATCAAAACCTAGTTAGAGTTGCATTGTTTTGCAGTAACAACTAATTTGATTTTGTATAACTTGTTTTAGCTTATAAAGAGATTAATAGTATTTTTGGCAACCCTATGTTATAATCGACTTGTGTTATAGAATGGTAAATTATAACCCCTGTGGATTAAAATTTTAGGCGTTTGGTAAAATGGATGGTTTGTAATCCGTTTGTTTTGCTAAAATGACAAATAAACCCTCGAAAATGGGTGGAGAGAGAAGGAAAGAATGAGATTATAATCCACCTGAAAAAATAACCTAGGTTATTTATTGGTGGATTATAATTCGAAATATGTTACCAAGCATAGAAAGGTGTGATAATCCAGTTTGACCATGTAGCCAAACTTGCGCTGAAACTGAAGGGCGAGCTCAAGTTTCTACCTGATCTCTAGTCATATCAAATAATACATGTCTTTGTATATGGAACTGAATTTTATTTCCACCAGAAATGGATATTGTCTTTATATCTGAACAACGTCTATATTATATTTGTGGAAAACAAATATTAATGAAGTAAAAAAGCACTATCTTCTTTTTTTTTTGATTCCACCTACCAGATATATTTCACTAGATAGCACACATGAGTTTATGTTAAGACTGAAGAGTTGAAAGCAAATATGTTACAGTGAGAAGATTGCATATCAAATGATACTTAACAAGGAAGCATGATTTCTACCACTGACCATGAAGGATTTGGGAGAAGCCGGTGTAATTGATATTTTTCAGACCGATCTAGGTGCAAAAAATTATAGGATCCCAGACTTCCCAGTTCTACTTTTAGGACAGCTTGTAGTTAACCCAATAAATTCTAATATGCTGTAGATGAAGATAGTAAGTCTGTGAATTAACTGTGGATATGATACTTAATAGGAAAAATGATTCCTATAATTGATCCAAAAGAATCTGGAAGAATTTGTATGAAATCTTAATCAGTAGTTTATAAAAAAGATATAATTTCCATTCAGCATGTCTGATCTCTTAGGTTATACATTTCAGCTTCTGACTGTTGGAAGCTTAATGCCTAGACATGTGATACCTAACTGTCTAAGAGTAGTTTAATTTTTTTTAATAATAATGAGAGACGGTACGGTGATCACTGAAAGGAATTTTGTTGTTGGTTTGACATGTAGATATGTGACATGTTAAATCTTACTTAATCAGTGAAATGGTTTTTAATAGAAAGGTTATATTACATATAGGATGCAAACTAAGAGTGTTTATCTACCTGCCAAAATATACAATGGTCATCTATATTGGTGATCCGGACCATCCACCATAACGTAGTAACCTGCATGAATAAAATCACATGAATAGAAAAATCTCATGATCTGAAAATGACTGGCCCATATCAGTCATCAATAATTGATTATTTTGATTTGGGTGATGGGAACTTCCAAGCCGTGTAATTTTTTATTCTTTTGGATTTTATGATGTATAGATAGAATAATGATTTTCATTAACAATATGAACTGTGCAACATGTAATTTTGTAGGTAGGCATTAGGCACTATAAACTCTTAGTTGACACCTGTTTGCAATATAACCCTTCCCCCTAAATAAATCTGAATATTCTAATAATGATTTTGGGTTTTGGGGTAACAGTTATATTTAGTTATCAACTTCGCTTCAGAAAAGCTTTCCATTGGTAATGACTGTATATCTTTGGTGATTGTAGTTGGATACTGTCTAGCACGGCCCAAGTTTAGATGACTGAGTTGGCCTTGCCTTTAGCTTTTCAAAATTAGCACTGTACTGACATTTTATATTGTAAACAATGGACCTTGGCTTCTAACACCTCACAATAAATGATTTTCTCTAACCTTTGAGAGGTTTAACAGCCCATTAAATCTAAATGAGGATCCTTAAAAACATTTAAGAAAGTACATGCAATTTGAATTACTCAAATGTTTATGTTGTCTAGTTCAATGCTTCTTTTGAAAACAAAACACTTACCTTAATACTAATATATCAAGCGTTTTGCTAATTATTATTTCTGCAGTGCCCATTTCTGCAAATTGGTCGCATCATAGACATTCAAGTATGAGAAACCAAACTTATTTCATATTTGGTCATAACAGTGACTAAAGATAAATTTGGAGTAGATTTTTCCTTTTGACTATTTTATTGCAAATGTTTTAAATTCAAATAATATTCTTATTACGACATCTAATATTGTAGAACAATTTTGAAGGCTAGGGGGATGGGATATGAGGCATGTGGGGCACATGTTCCTCAAAATACTGCCAACTTTCTTTCTCTTGTGTGGTGTAGTTAATTGAAGCTACATCCTTGTCTGTTCATGTGCTGCAACAAATAAAAGGCATGCCCCTCAGATGCTCATTCATTATTCAAGGCATCATAGTGTTCCCTCACTCTTTAGTGATGTCCTATGTCTCCTATTATTTTATTTGAAGTAGTATATGCTTCCAGTTAGGTGGTTCCTATTAGGAAATACATCATACTTACGTTTATCTTGCACTTATCATTACAATGTGGTCTGTTTCTATAAATCTGCATTATCTCTACTGATAATTCCTTGACCCTGACCATTTTACTTATGCCTGCTCATGTTGAGTTCAGGTTGCTGGTATTTGTTGCATAATATTTATCTTTACGTACACCCTATCACTTTATTATCTTTCCAACATTATTCCTCAGCCTTTTTTGATCTTTGTTTCTCATTGTCCATCCTGCTTCGCCCTCATTAATTTTATACTCATATTGTTTTCATGCATTTTCTGATCCTATATGCTGTCTGTCTTTTTTTTTAAAGTAAAGAATATTTCCTTGCTAACTGGAATGCATTTCTAAAAACGTGATATTTAGCTAAGGCTTTGACGTAGTTTTTTTAAAAGAAGAAGGTTAGTTTCGTATATTATATTTTCATTTTTGTGAGAACACTGCTTATTTTTTCTATTTCACGGCTGTATTTACTCTGTTCAAACTTGCAATGTCTTAAATTACTATAATACATAGCAAATGCATGATATGTTATAAATCAAAATATGAGCATCATATATTTAATTATAATGTCCATATCTTGGATTTTAAAATTTGGATCAATAATGTCTTTTGTATATCATAATAGTAGTCTAGTTCAGCTGATAACTTTAGTATACATATGATATGTTATAATGTATATATTTCCTGCAGCTCTTAATGAAGCACTGACTGCTGAGGTTCAACGTCTAAAACTTGCGACGGGTGAAGCACAGTTAGCAAACAGCCTGAGTCAACAGATGCAACTGAACCCTCAGATGTTCTCAATGCAGCAACAAATGCAAAAACAGCTGCAGCAAGCTTCACAAACATCTCGCTATCAAATGCAATCTCAGCAGCAACAACAAAAGACCAGTGATGTCTCTGAGCACGATTCAAACAAATAGTACAACCAGCAAAAGAGATTTGAAGCGCATCTCACCATCTTGTTGATAAAATATGTTTGCTTTAAGTATCTATGTAGTTTATGTTTTAATATATATTCTTTGAAGCATATATAGTTTAATTTTTTGGGTTAAGATGGTACTATAGGATGCAGGAATTGTTGATGTTCTTTTGTAACTGAAAATATTTGTTGGTGTTGGAGGACATGGACATTGGATTAATGTTATCTAGAGATTAAAGTTTTAGTTTGTATGACAGTATCCTTTCTTATTTGATGCTTTGGTCACAAAGTGGTTAGTGTTACTTGTGTGTATCTTTTGCTTATTTATGTCATTATTAAAGGAATCAATTTTTTCATGACATCCTCAGCTAACTTGGGATTAATATGCTATTGTTTTCTTTGGTACCGTGTAGGCGTTAAAAAATGCTCATAGATATCCAAACACAACTCAAGGATAAGAAGAGAACAATGTGTATACAACGACAAAATACACCAACGATAAAATACACCAAGTAGCTCATGGTGGCGCGCCTTAGGCGCGGCAGCTCATGATGGTGCGTCTTAGGCGCGGCAGATCATGATGACGCGCAAACTACGGGGTGTGCCGCGACGGTTACAAAGCAGTTATACGATGGTTTTTTAAAGTCCACGTGACAGCATATCAGAAATAGAACGTGTGCTGACGTGGACAAGCAGTTTAACCACGAAAAAAATGGTTAAAAGTCGTGGGAGAACAGTTTCAAGCACGATGGGACTTGGTTATAACTGCTCCTTTGGCCGCGGCAGTCCACACTGATGCGCCAATAGCCGCGGCAGTGTTGACTGGCACGGCCAAAGGGATGTCATGTGGTCAGTTATTGTATCCACGTTTCCACTGCTGTGCACTCCTACCCCTATAAATACCTCCTTAGACATAAAATAAAGGACAGAGAGCAGATTGGGGCATAGAGACTTGAGCTTTTGGTGATTTTGAGGAAGAGAGAGAATTTTCACCTTTCATAAACATCACTTGGTGATTCCTAGAGATCTAAGCTCAGACTTGATCTTTGGAAGAGTGAACATCTTACATCGATAAGATATTCGCTTCAAATCCCTACTTCGATAAATGAAGCAATGATCTTTAAACACCCTCACAATCTGTGAATCGGTGGTCCACGAGTCAAAGCACTCCCGGCACAGGCAAAGTCCCACAAAACAGAATTCGATAAACGATTTCTGTGTTATTTTCTCGAGAGTTGTAATTTTCCTATTTTTCATTGTAATTTTCTGTAAACGATTGAAATTTTAATGGAATCGACAATAAAAACAACTTTCGCTGAAAACAAACTGACGACCACAGTGGGAGCCAGCGGCCTCGCTGCCGAGGCCGCAGTGTCGCAACCGATCAAGATCGTGATCAATGAAGAGATCGAATATGAATTTGATCAGGCGAAAATTGAGGAGTACCTGTCATCCTCATCCTCAAAACCTTCCTCACCTCGTAAGTATAGGAAGGTTTCATCTTCCAAGAAAACTTTCAAGTCTGCAATGCCAATGAAGACCGCAGATGAAAGTTCTTGCCCGATCGTTGTTAAGGAATCTACCTGCAACATCTCTGCTCCAAATGACTCTGCACCAATTAAGGAGTCATTGAATCATGGCCAGCCGACAATGACGAAAAGAGCTCGTCAAAGACAACGTCAGCGCCGTGCTCGTCAATTGGTTAAGGCCTTACAACAGACCGACGAGGTCTATTACTATGCAGACCTAGAGTCAAGGAAGCATAAAGTGGTTCAGTTGCCTCAACGGCAAACTAATCGCATTTCTGCAAAACTTACGACGGAAGAGTGTACTCTTATCAAAAGGGCTCATTCGACCCTTAAAGAACGTATACAAAAGCGTCAGATGAAGGCCGCTCGTGCCCGTGCCCTTCGTCAACAAACGCAAGGAAACAAGAAGGAAATGGTGTATGAAAAGCCACCGAAGGACTGCAAAGTTTGGGTTCCTAAGCCCAAAGATGATCAATAACTACGGAGGAGGAGTTCAATCTCCAACTGCGGCAGTCCACACTGCCGCGACACTTCATGCAACCGCGGCAGCCCACACTGCCGCGGCACTTCATACAATCGCGACAGTCATGACTGCCGTGGCAATTTGCGGCACTTCATACAATCGCGACAGTCATGACTGCCGTGGCAATTTATCCAGCCGTGACGCTCATCTCTGCCGCGGCCAAGTGAAAGTTAACAAGATCTCCCTTTCAACTCCGTCAGCATCTGTTCCGGGTCCGTCTACTGCATCACCGGCGAAACCCTGGGTTAGCCCAGATTTATCAAAATTTAAGATCACAATGGCTGCCGACGATCGAGGCAAAACCCCAATCGAAGGACATTCGGATCCAGTGAATAAACCCTTGATGGTTTCTTATGCAAGGGGTCGTAAATACCCTCATGTCAGAACTGTACAAGTCCAAAACGAGAAAATACCAATTCATTCTCGTTTGTGACCAATGAAGATTCCACTCCCGCAAGGGGGTGGAGTTAAAAATTTAACCTTGGATCGCCCAGAGGTGACAACCAGTCGTCCTGTGCATGTTAACAAGGTTCAAAAACAAAAGATATGTTGCTCAAATCACTATAATGATGAGCTGTACTATCAAAATAACAAATCACGAAAAAGAATTGCCCGAGAAGATGAGTCTCATTGCGCTTGCGAGAGACTCATTAAGGCAGTGTTGACAGAATGCAGTTGCTCTAAAACCAAGCCAACAAGAGTCTCCGTATTTCAGAGACTTTCCACTGAAGCGTCAAAACCCAAGATGAGGCGTTTCAACAAGAAGAAACCTGCAATTCAACAAGATGAGTTCCCCAAGGTCACTATTAATATGACCGGCAGAGGAAAACAACAATTAGTCAACCCTGACCCTGATTTCTCTCTGGAAGGGAGAGTTGAGCGGGGTCTTTCTCAAAGGATGTCATGGCTACAATGAAGAGCCAACCGACGTCGAGACTACAAAAGAATGCACGAAGGTTTATCTTTAGATGAGGAACTGTCGGACACTTGTTCTGTTGTCGCGTCGGACGACACCACATCCAGTATTAGGCAAATCAGAGAATCATTTGCAATCACGCCGGATCAACTAGCACAAATACTACAGGAAGCGTTAGCTAAACAACGCGAGGAAATTAGAGCTGAAATCAAAACCGAGATGGAGTTGATAATGCAGCAGATGCGAGATTTGCAGGCTCAACAACACCAACCGGAATCAAGCCAAAAGGCGGAATCCAGTCAGCGTAATACTATACCTGTACGTATAACTAAGGTCAAAAATGAGGAAGATGAGACTATCTTTGCTGATCCTCCTCCTGATAAGGACAATTCCGGAAGCGGCCCGGCTAAATTTTCTCAACCTCCTCAAATCTACTTGAAGAAGAGTGAGGAAGAAGACAAGAAGATGCAAGATCTCGAGAGCAAAGTCAATGATTTAATGACGGCCTAAGAAGTGAAGGAAACGGGCATTCCATACCCGTACCCGAGGGAGTGGGATCTAATTCCTTATCCTCTAACATTTAATTTGATTAACTTTACTCCTTTTGATGGCAGGGGTTCACCCACTCAGCACTTGATCTATTTCAAGTCACATCTTGGCGTAAATATTAGTAAATGAAGCTTTGATAGTCCGGTCATTCGTAGGAACCCTCCGAGGGCCTGCCTTCGATTGGTACTGACGTCTTAAACCCGGGAGCATCACTAGCTGGGAAGATATGGAAGGATTGTTCCTCACCAATTTCTTCGACGACGACACCGAAGTTTCTATTGGCACCTTGTTGGACGAGAAGCAGAAAAATGGGGAGTCGGTTGATGTCTTCGTCAAACGATTCCGGAACAAAGTAGTAAACTGCCGAGATCCACTCACAGAAGAATTCATCCTACAGACATGTCATAATAACTTGTCATGGGATGTACTAGAGGTAATGGGGGTTGTGCCCTCTAAAACTTGGAAAGAATTGAAAGTAAGAGGTGAGCAAGCTGAACGCTTTCTCAAGAGAAAGAATTTGGAGAGAGGTCAGACACCAGCTAATACTCAAAAGCAGAACTTTAATCCTCGAGGCAGAGGAAGAGGGTCCACGGCAGTTGTTGATGCTCATCAAACATCACAACAGCCGCAACAACAACCGCAGTAGTCATCTTTCCAATTGGCACCAAATCCGAATCAACAACCTTCGAGGCAACCTAAGACTTCAGAGCCTAGATTCCCGAAGGAATATTTTTTCAAGGATGATGAAGTTACAGTCATCTTCAAATATCTGTTAGACAACAATAAAATCAAACTTCCACCGATCACAAACCAGGAAGAAGCGAAGAAGACTAACGACCCGAAGTATTGTGCATATCACAGGAGGGTCCATCACCCCACTAAGGCGTGTTATGTCTTAAAAGACAAAATACAAACCTTAATTTATGTGGGTATCGTGACGCCGAAACCGAAAGAGAAGAAAGTAGGTGCAAATGCAGTGTCTATTAGCTTTGGGTCAGTTCCTTTATATTGGTTTCAAGCCGAACCAGTATCAAAGGTTAAAATACAAACTATCAACGATGACCCTCATGGACAGCGTCAAAAAGGACTTGTGTCACACACGACCCCTAACGGCGAAATCCTTTGGGTTCATCCGGATTTGTTTGAAGATGAGCAGTGGACAACATCCACGAAGAAGTTAAAAGGCAAGGGAAAAGAGAAGTCCTGTTACGGAGCCTCGGCAATTCCTGAGAAAAACGATGAAGAAATTCCAGCTTTACCGTTCTCTGAGGAAGAGCAAGAATCTTTGGCTACAAGAGGTGGGAATAAATACCATTATAAATATCCTGAAACCTCTAACCCAAACGCTAAAACTCTTACGGAGCTGGGGGTAGTTACAACTCCTCCTGTAGCTGCTGGGAAGCTGCAACAACCGGCTAAACAAAAAGAAAAGGAACCCCAACATAAAGAGGTTTAAGTTCCGAAGTAGTCTTGTTTCAATCGACCGATTGGACGAGATAAACCGGAAAGCTCGAATACTCCATACCGCTTTGATGTCATGACTCAGTTGGCTAATATCCCAGCAAGGATCACGCTATATGAGTTATTACACCTCTCAAAAGATACCAGAGAAGCTTTACAATAAGCCTTGGCTGATTCTGAGGTATTCCTTACTCAGATTAAACCAACTCCTGAAGAGCCGGAGTCATCAGTTCAGCATTGCAATCTGGCAGCCACGAAATTGTTAGACCCTAGAGGGGGGGTGATTAGGGTCTTAT